TATCCTGCTTTTCTTTTATACGTGCCTGTGCTGCGCTGCTGTTAAATTGTTTGCCTGTTGGCCTTCAGTTTGTAATCTGTGTTTTTTGTCTTAATGTGCTTGTAGGGCAGGTGCCCTTAGGAAAGCTAACTGCACTCATTTCTCTGAAGAGGTAAGTACTAAGTAGTTAGCAGCAGTTTTAGTTTCTCCTGCTTTAATTATCACTTAAATTTTCCAGACTTGATCTTACTTATGTGGCCGCTTATTTTATCTTAATATATTGAGCTCTTGTAGAAACTTTGCAAGTGGCTGGTTCAGCTTCTAATGGCGCTTGATTACTTGCATATGCACCATATTCTGCATCGAGATGTTAAGGTGAGGCAGGCTTTTTTTGCCTAGATCTTTGCCATGTGTCTGTCATAATTATAGGTCTTCTCATATTGTCCTTGTTCTTTTCTTTCCGCAGTTGTCAAATATATTTTTGACGAAAGAGCAAGACATACGTCTTGGTAAGATTTTGCCTAAATCAACTCTTGTATAATGACATATTTTAATACTATATATATTAACATTTTAATTGATGGACGCAGGTGATTTTGGTCTAGCTAAACTGTTAACTTCAGATGATCTTGCTTCATCTGTAAGTAGTTTTTTCTATCTATTGGTTAACTCGACAATTTAATGTTTTTAAATGTGTCTTAATCCTTGGTTTACCTTTTTCAATTGAAGGTGGTTGGAACTCCTAGCTATATGTGTCCTGAGCTTCTCGCTGATATACCTTATGGCTCCAAGTCTGACATCTGGTCATTAGGTCTGTTAATCTTATAAAGCCTACCTGACACTTTGATTTTTCTATTCCCTTCTATTTGTTGGGTGATCGCAATCTGTCATGTGTCATTTTCAGGCTGCTGTATCTATGAAATGGCTGCTTTGAGACCTGCATTTAAGGCCTTTGTAAGTTGCTTGTATCCATTTTCCAGCACTGATTTATGTAGTTTTGGATGGCATCATATGATCATTGCGCTTCTGAAATATTCATTTAGAGTCTATGTTATGTAAATATATAAAACCTTCTTTTAGGTTTTATTACCTAGACATTTTTATGAAGTTTTTTCCATTTGTGTAATTTGCTCCCTTGCATTCGTGGTTCTGCACTTAATATTTTTGAGTAAATTGTTATCTTGTTGTGCAGGACATGCAGGCACTGATTAACAAAATAAATAGGTCGATTGTTTCCCCACTTCCGACTATGTATTCTGGTCGATTGTAAGTGCTTTCTTTGCAGTATGTGAAAACTTTCATGCGTGTTATGAGTTGCACACTTGCACAGTAGGAAATATTTGCGGGCTTGCCTTTTTTTTTTGCTGTGTAAGGTATATTTAGCTATGGTCTTTCTCATTTCACTGTATCATCTCATTTTGCAGTAGGGGTCTTGTTAAGACCATGCTGAGGAAAAACCCTGAACTTCGGCCCAGTGTATGAATTCTCTTCTTTTTTAGTTTCATACTTACAATGCTGCATGCCACTTTGCTCTGATATTATACTTGTCACTATGACTCTGTAAGCTTTAGGTGAAAACGTTGATTAAAATCAGGGGTCTTTTGGTTCGCTGTAATAGGGAAAGGGAATGGGAATGATTACCTTTGTTGGTGTTTGTTTTCCCTCTTTTGTCATTCCCATTCCCCCTTTTTATTTTTGGGTTTACCCAAAATCCTCCTAATCCCATTCCCCACCCCCCCTACCTTTCCCATTCCTTTCCCCAACCACCACCATACCCCTTAACCCTAAACCACCTCACCGGGACTAGTAGCACCTCGCCGAAACTCGCTGCACCTTGCCGGATGCTCGCCGGCCTTCCCCCAATCCTCGCCGCCCTTCGCCGCCCCTCCTCCCACCCACGTATAACCCTTAAAAAACCCTCCCCTCCACCGGAACCAAAGGCCGCACCTCACCGGACGTGGTTTGTGGGGTTGCTTGGCTAGGTTTCGGTCGTGGTTTCGCCGCACCTCACCGGATGTGGGTTTGGATTTCAGTCGTGGTTTGTGGGGTTGCGTGGTTTGGTTTCGGTCGTGGTTTGTGGGTTGCTTGGCTGGGTTTCGGTCTTGGTGGTTCTTGGGGGTGGCGTGGGTTTGGATTTGGGTTCGTGGAGGTCTGGGTGAGGTGCAGCCGTTGGGGTGGCTGTTGGTTGGGCGGTGGGGTGGCTGGAGAAGGTGGAAAAAAATGAAGGGCGGGTGTTGTGGTGGTGCAATGGTGGTGTGATTCCCTAGCTTTTTTTTGTAAACAAACAACATGCTTAATTTTGAGGGTTTCATTCCATTCTCCTCCATTCCCTTTCTGCATTCCATTCCAATTCCCCTCTGCGAACCAAACGGCCCCTCAGTAACTTCATTTCAGAAATATATTAGTGAATTGAACAAAATAAATAAATCAGGTTCTATACTTTATTCAATAAATATCACTTTATCAGCAAAAATGAAATTTTACATGTAAAACTGTAAAATTATTTTAGCTACATAGGTCTTGCAATCGTTTACAAGTTGAAACAATTTGTGTCCTTGCATCTGAATTTCATTTTTCCCCTATCAGCACATTGGCTATGATTATTTGACGTGGATATGATTTTGGCTGCACTGTTTCAGGCTACTGAACTGCTCAGGCATCCTCATCTTCAGCCATATGTTTTCAAAATTAATCTAAAGTTTGGGAGCCTCAGAAGAAACACCTTACCAACATCCTATTATGATAATCCAAGGAAAACCAGATTTCTCGAGGCGGAAGAGATTCCAAAGCGTGTTGACAGACAGAACAGAAGATTGTCATACAGTAATGACCGAACCCAGAATCCCAGCATCTCTGGAGCTGAACCAGACTCCCCGTATTCTATCAGACAGCAACAGGAATTTTCTACTTATATGAATCGAAAGCTGGAGGAAATGTCCATTAGTAGCTCACACAAGGAGATAGGTGTGGATAAGCCAATAATTGGCAAAGCTTCTACTGTGGCAAAAACCCCTAGGTTCTCAACTCCTTCAAAAGGTTCTTCTGCCTTTAGGAGGTTGTCAACACCCTCTAAGATGTCCACAAATGCATCCAGTCGTACCTCTGTAAGTTCATTTAAGCCATTACTATTCAGTTTAATAGGCCACATCTTTGTTTTGAGACATGCCATAACAATAGACCACTAATCTAAAATTTCTTAAGTGAAAATTTTATGTTGCCCATACAAACCTTAAAGATATCGTAATACTAAAACCTTTAATATTAACACGAGCTGAAAAACTTGCAAGGAGAAAAATACTTGTGGAATTTCAATTCAATTGAAATTATAGAAAAATTCAACCGATCAATGGTTGTCCTTTAGAATTGGGATGAAAGAACTAGGGGGTTGTACATTGAATCATTGATATCATTTCCCCTGATAAAACCTTTCTGATGGGCCGTGTTAGTACGTGTTTCTCTTGCTAGTATGTATTTGACACTATTAAACTCTAAGCTTTGAATAAATTAAATGTGCAGCTTCCCATGTCGCATACTCCGACGACCAAATATTCCAGATCAACACGTAGAGTTTCCCTGCCGCTTTCAGTCTCAAGCAACAAGGCAGCAGACTGTGAGACTCAATATAAATCCAAGACAGGATTTCTTCACGGTGTCGAGTCTCCTGATGTATCTGTCAATGCCCCACGTATTGACAAGATGGCCGAGTTCCCATTAGGATCTTCTGAGAGCCCCCTTTACCCTGTAAATAGAACCTCATCAACCTCTGCTCAGTGCTCTTCCACCTCCCCAAAGGCTGCTGATCGCTCGATGATGAAGGACAAGTGTACAGTCCAGATAATAGACAGAGCCTTGGATAAGCCAAGTATGGCCAATGAAAATTCAGAGCATAATCAAGTCAGTGGTTTATCCAGCAAATCATCATCAGACTCCAGGCAACGGCGGTTTGATACCACCTCATATCAACAACGTGCTGAAGCATTAGAAGGTTTGCTTGAGTTCAGTGCCCGACTTTTACAGCAGGGGAGACATGATGAGCTTAGTGTACTCTTGAAGCCTTTCGGTCCTGAAAAAGTGTCTCCAAGAGAAACTGCTATATGGTTAGCTAAAAGCATCAAAGAGACTGGAACCTAGCTATGGTACTAACTTTCTTCCACAACTAGTCCCTTGTATATTGGCTAGCAATGTTAGTTTAAAATTGTGTGAACTAGTGAATCTAGGCCCTAGGATCAAAATCCTTGGATGGGATTTTTGATTTGTTAAGGAGGCTTGAAGCTGTAGTTTAGAGTTGCAGCTGTTTCTAATTTTGTTAATCCCCGCGATAACCATTACAGGTGCAAGCAAACGGTGCTACATGCACTTGAATAATGTAGTGATGTGATTCTAACAAGTTAGTTCTCTTAAGGATATGGGTTCTAAGATGTGAATTTTCCGGAGAGTAATAGTATGTTGGTATCAGTTTTTCTTCCTCGTGTCCTTGGGAAAGAGATGTTTCTGGAATGGAAAGAGGTTTCGGGAAGACTGGAATGTAGATTATGCGAGTTTTACATCTCTCAGTCTCTCATGTAATACAATTGTTTGGATTTTGCATGTAAATTTTTTGCATAAACTTGATACTAACGCACAAGATAGGGCACCGTTTCGTCTAAATCGTACTGACTATGCTATGTTGGTTGTCATGGTTGAGGAAATACTAATACGAGTACCGATATAGTGACTCTTTTTCCGAAACAATAAGCTGTTGCATGCTAAGTAGTAAGTACGCCTAAATGTCTCAATTATACTCTAGACGGAAACACTCTATAATCACTCTCTTAGGCTCCGTTTACTTTACCTTATTTTTGTTAATCTGAAATTATTTTTACTGAACTGAAATTAATTTTGTTGAACTTAAATTATTTTTACTGAACTTAAATTAATTTTACTGACCTGAAATTAATTTTGCTGAACTGAAATTATTTTTACTGATTCTCTATTATATCTTCTTTAAAGTTACTGATTTTTACTGAACTGAACTAAAATTATTTTTGCTGAACTGAACTGAAATTAATTTTATTAAATATTTTTTTTAAGGTGAAGTAAACAAGGTCTGACTCTATTCTCATCAGTTATCTATAACATTTAATGAGTAAGTTTATAAACAATTTAATTACCACAATATAAAACTAATATAACAATTAGATTATATTTTACAACACGAGTGTGCCCCCATCACTTCTCTAGTCTAGTACTCTAGTGATTAAATTTCTAATAATCCCAACGTCCAAAAATCTAGAAAGAACCATAAAATTTAAACCTTTTTTTTTTACGGGAAAGCTTTTACTTATAGCGGGAAATGCTTAATTGACTTGGAATTTTCTTAAGAACCCTAAAATTCAAATTTAGACTTAAAAGCGTCAACTTTTGGAGAGAGAAAGAAGAATTTGCAGAGACTTCAATGGAGGAAAAGAAGATAGAAGTTCTAGAACCCTACCAACTCCATTACTCGGATCTTCTCAAACTTTCGTCATCGTCTTCATCTTCATCATCGATTGAAATCGGACAGTTGGAATCAGTCACGAGAGCAGTAATGGAAGCCCTAGGGCCCACTGGTCCAGGCCTTCTCACCATTACTGGAGTCCCTAATGTTGCGGAACTCCGCAATTACCTGCTCCCTCGCGCACGGGATCTTTCCCTCCTTCATCATCGTCATCGCAATCGCATTCTCAAGGTCTTATTTATTTATTTTAGTTTTAAAAGTTGTTTTCAATTATTTGCAGTTTTGCTGAAATTGTTGGGAATTATGAATGATGAGACTTATTTTAATTGATTGTTTGTGATTAATTGTTAAATAGTGAATGTTTTCAATCATATAATTGGTAAAAAGTTTTTAATGTGGATGAGGATAATTTTTCTTTTTTGGAGTGTTTAAAATGTCATGATTGTATTTAATTATATAGGAATTTAGTTTGTTAAAGACAAATTGATGAATTTTCTCGAATCGTGTGGTTGAGGATACTCGAGAAATATTGATGAAAATCTAAATTTAAGCTGTTAGAAAGGGCAGAAAATAAGCAAAAATTGACCTTGGATAATTTCACATTAATGGAGAATATTGATAGGTGACATTAATGTTATGGGGATTGGGGAGATGTTGATTGATAATATTGACAGTTATGGCATTGAAATTTAAGCTATTGATTGATTTAATCTGGAAATTATAGGATAATTTTGATTGATAACATTGATAGTTATGTCAGTGAAATTTTAGCTATTAATTGATGTATTTCTTCAGGAATTTTGATTGGTCATGTTGAAATATATGGAGAAATGCTGATAGGTGTCAAAGATGTTTGTCTAGTGTTGAATGAACAATGCCAAGGAAATGGCATGGTGGTGCCCAAAATGGCAAAAGATATGAGGTATCTATTGGTCAGTTGGTCTTATCGAGACTTTGGAATTGGTGTGCTATGATGCATTGTTAAACATAACTTTGGTTGAGAACTTGTGATATATGGGAGATCCTCGCAATGACATGCGAAAAATATTGCAAGTTTTGCAGATCCTTTACTCATTAAGTCATACTGCTTTATTTATTGCTTAATGGCTTCTTTATGAGATTTTTTTGGTGGGTTTCTTCATTAGTTAATTTTGGAAAAACATACTTAGGAGTGTCTTGTACAACCTGAGCCTTGAGGGATGATAGGCACATCCCATATACCGGAGAAATTTGGATTGATATTAGGATTTTGTTGACCAATACGGATATTGTATTTTAGGATATATACCCATTAGAATGTATTATTTTGTCCACTCTCCAAGATGGTTTAACGTTCCTTGTATACAACACTATAACATGTACTTAATAATTGCCTTGATCTTTTCAGCAGTTTTCTTCTAGATGTTTTTCATACCTGTCTCCCATACTGTACTGTTGACTTGTAATTAAAGAGAAATGGCAGGATCATGGCTTAGGGAGCGATGTTCCATTGAAGAATTTGGATAGATGTGTCTCATCATTTGCTATGCAGCTGAAATATGGGCATGAATTGGATATGAGTAAGTTGAGCCATGTATGTTCTGAGGGCCTTGAGAAGCACAATGGGGCTGAAGAAAATATTGATGCTGATGAGTATGTCAAATCAATGAATGATCACTTCAAGGATCTTGGTTGTAATTTTAGGGAACTTGGGTTATGTATGATGGACTTGGGACTTCGTGTAGCACGTATTTGTGATAGGGCAATTGGTGGGAAGGAATTGGAGAATAGCTTGTTAGAGTCAGGGACAGCAAAGGGTCGTCTCATTCACTATCATTCTTTTCTTGATACTTGTATAATCAAAGAATCTGGGAGAAGACAGGGGTCTAAGAAAGGACAACAAAAATCTGTACCAAAGAACTTTCATTTCAAGGATGAAAAGAGGTCATGCAGGAGTGAGGAAATGCATAGAGATGGTGATAGAAGGGCATGCAAGAAACATTCCGATCTTTGGCAACAGTGGCACTACGACTATGGTACCTTCACTGTTCTTACTAGTCCAATGCTCATCAAACTAAGATGTTGCCACACAGAACAAGGGGATGATGATTACAAGAAATTCAGTGGGTTAGAATGCTCGTCACCCAGTGGGAATACTTATATGCAGATTTTTCATCCAAAAAATAACAACATTTGTGCTATAAAGGCTCCTCCTGAGAGTTTCATTCTTCAGGTGGGAGAATCAGCTGATATTCTGTCAAGACATAAACTCCAGGCAACGCTTCACTCAGTATCACAGCCAGTAGAGCTAGAAATTTTGAGCAGGGAAACTTTTGTTGTTTTTTTGCATCCTGCGTGGAATAAAGTTTTTGATATTTCAGATTATCCAATGGAGCAGTTAACATTAAATGATCAGAAGGGGAATCATGGGGAGAGGCCTCAAGGTGAGGGAGAGCTCGAGAAACTTACACAAGAGATTCACAGAATCATTCCCCCACTCTCTGCACGGCTAAAGGATGGGATGACATTTGCTGAATTCTCCCGGGAAACAACCAAGCAATACTATGGTGGTAGTGGCTTACAATCAAACAGATGAGGGTCGCGAAGCAGTGAGGTTGCATTTGACTCTGCCATATGCATTGTATTCTTGTTGTGGTTGGTCTACTTGCTCTGGTGTTGAGGAAGCATCTGCAGAGGAACACCTTATCTTATTTGAGGATGCTGTGATCCAAGTATATATTCAATTGACAAAATTCTTTATTGAAGAATTTTGCCATTTTACTGTACATCTACTCTCTACCAAACCATATGAAGCTTCCTAGAAAGGTAGCTATCTAATTTCCTGTAGGATGATTTGGGGATGTAAATTTTTAACCTGCAGAAGGATTATTCTCTTTGAAGCAACATTACTGGCATCTGTCATGTCATAATTTATTCCCTTGTCCATTCATTCTGATGATTATTGAATGACCAAATATCTTGTTGTAAAGTGTTATGGAACTTGAAATTCTTGTTAGTAATTGTGAAGAAGACGTTTGAACTTCTGCAATGTATGAAATGATTTCAGACCACCTCAGATGTAATTTTTAGCATTGAGGAGGCTCTTAATTTTCTTATCTTTGGCAGGGTGAATAATATTGACGCACGCTTTGCCTACAATCACAACATGATCATTTCTCTATGATATCCTGACAAGGTAATGGAATCTTTCTCGCAAGCAACTTTAAGCTTTGATTTAAGCCCATTGGTTTCACCATTTCAGTGAATTTAATGTTTGAAGAGTGATTTAGAATGTTTTGGTTTACTATGGTGGATTGTGGGATAGACTTGTAAAAATAGAACTAAATTGCAATCCTGGGATCTGGAATTTTCATCAAATTGTTCAGTAGTTTGTTGAAATAGTAACAAAATTCTTGTTTAGCTGAATCTAATCACGTATGTTCAAACTTCAAAGTTTAAATTAGTTTGACCTATAACATCTCTTAGTATATGTTTTGGACTTTTGATAGCATCATTTTAGAGTACGGATCTAAATCATAGTGGAAGATGGAAAAGATTATGATTTAATAATAATAATAATAATAATAATAATAATAATAATAATAATAATAATAATAATAATAATAATAATAATAATAATAATAATAATAATAATAATAATAATAATAATAATAATAATAATAATAATAATAATAATAATAATAATAATAATAATAATAATAATAATAAGGTGAACAAAACCCTTGCTTTATTACTTTGCACTTTTCTTTATTGCCCTTCTTAATAAGTCTCATTTCTGAAGTATAGCTATTATAGGTACACCAATTACCAATTAATTGACCCATTACATAAAGAGAAAGAAGAGAGGGGGGGGGGGGGGTTATATGTGGCAGCTTCACCCCATCAAACACTTTAAGAAAAGTACGTATCACGGATGACATCTGGGAGTTCCATCTTTAAAACTTAAGATCAAACTCAAGCTTTTAAAATCTTACTTTCTAAGGTGGACTGTTTGTTGTCCACCTTTGCTAGGATTTTTTCTCCTCACCTTTACATCCACAACTTTATGTAGGACTAGTAGTTTTATCATTGGTAATTAGTAGATCATAGTTTTTCACTTAGATGTTTTATCATGAATGTGGATTATATTCATTACTCTGCCCTTCCTTCTGTGTTACACTTGCATACTCCATTATGATCATACAGTATAGTGTTATTCATTCCAAATTTCAACCCAGAATATCACTCTCCCGATTCTTCATTTTCGGACAATCAAGTATGACACAACACTTTAGATTAGGCCTGATCTTTGTATTAACTCAGTAATATTGATCTGTGTTAATTTAGCTAATAGCATTTTGTTTCTCCCCAAACAAACGCAGTGGGAATCTTCTCCAGTCCAAGTTTTACAAAGTAAATAGGAGAAAACAACAGGGGAAAGGGGGGTAAAGTAGGGAAGTTATTGGTTAGCTAGCTATTTGCATGGCTGATGGCTTGTTGAAGAGATCAACCCCATTCATGAAAATGAAATATGATTTAAACTTTTCCTCAGTATAGGCAAAGGGAATAAAGGGTTTTTTTCCTCTGAACTGTTGCAGGAGTCCCAACTTATTAAGGTCCCCCTCTTTGATATTTTTTCAACATATTTTATGATAAAAGAGAAGCATTATTTGACATTAAAATATACTTACTTTATTTGCTTATTTTTACTTGAAACTCATTACATGAGATCAATGTATTCGGGCCCATTTATCCATTTCCGACATGGGTAAGTGTCCAAGTGTCTAACTTGGTTATTCTGTGAAGTTTTTCCATGATTTTGGCCTAAAATGAAGTGTCTAAATGTCCCATCCATGTCCGAGTGTTGAAAATATGACAATGATACTTGATGTAAAATGAAAAGTCCAAGTAATATAGCATGAGATGTTAGCTAAGGTGGAGATTAGAGAGGGTAAATAGACAAATTAATTAAAGTAGTTTAAACCCAAATAACATAACCTTTTCTTCTTATTACTAGTAAAGTTATTATAAATAGTTCATCTATTTTCCCCTTATAATCTCTTTCTTAAATTGCGTGTCCAGGTGATGAGTTACGAGTAAATAACTACATTTGTTGAACTGGTTGTCATCAAGTGAGGCTTAACTTTGTGTGGAGTAGGAGATGATGACGTTTTACAGTTGCAAACTGCAAAGGTATCAAAAGGGCACGCTTCTGTGCTGAAGTTCATCTTCTCAGTTATATTTCAGCCTTTATTTTATAATTGCATAGTACCCCAAAATGGTTTTAGATTAAGGGGCAATGTTGGCTTGGTCTGACCTTCAAAAAGGGAAGGTCCTTTTGTCAGTCTACGATGTTGCCAATTCCTGTAGATGTTGCGACACCCATCAATTCATTTTAAGATCATTCTAAGTTTTGATTTCATTCAGTTTAATTGTGGAATGTTATGTCTGTATACTTTCTTGGTTCATCACTGTAATGTCATTTGGATTTGAAATTTAAGTGTGACTACGTGGTCTTCGTCGACTAGAAACTAGAATCAGTGACGGTTTTTTTTTTTTTTTTTTTTTTCATTTGATGTGAGACATGAAGGCCTTGTAGCCTTGTAGGTATCACTTCCAAGACTTATCCAGTTACTCTACACTAATGTTGAGGTTTGGGATCCTTGCATTTTGAATTTTTAGGTGTCGGAACTGTGACCCTAGGAGTGTAGGGTGTCCATTGTCAATGGTAACTCTAGATATGCTTCATTTCCTAGAATGGTGATTTAGGAACTTATGAAAAAAAAAAAAAAAAAAATCACATTTGACTATTTGAGTAAGTATTAGTGTATTACTCAACCTTGTATGAATTATTGTGAATGCTAGAATATACTTCCTTGGCTTTTACACCAAACACAATGACTAATTGGAAGAATTAAGGAGAATCTGCAGATCTGCTTGTATGTTACCAATTGCAGATTTTGGGTGTAGAAATCAATACTGTAAATGTATTGTTAGCTTAGATCATAACCTACGTTCTAGGAAATGTTTAAACTTAAAATTATCAACCTTTCATTTGCGTAGAATTAGCAAATATTTCCTTTATTACACCCTTTTCTTTTGTATATTTCTTTTTAAAAAAGGTTTAAAGAAGCTTTACAATTATTCGATAATAGCATCGTAGTGGACACATTCCTTACCGTTAGCTTAAGGGGAAAAAAACCAAAAGATCCACGACTAACTAAAATTAAAATATCCTTCATCCAACACCAAATGTACCATACATGGCACCTGAACAATTTTTTACATTACAAACTTAGCACTCTTAAAAATCGGAAGGAAAGCCTCTTAATGCCACATCCATGGAATGCAAATGTGCGCAATAGTGATTTTGCAAAACCATATTCCGTACTTTATTGGGTTCATGATAGTTGATCATGACTTGACCCAAATAATCAGTATTTAGAGATCCAAGAATTTGGTAGTGAGGATGATTGTGTAGTATACTTAAGGAACATTGGATTTTGTCTATACTTGCAGTACAAGAGGACCACCATAGGACATAAGCTTCCTGTTAAAGTGAGCTGAACAAAGGCATCAGTAATCAGCTTAATGCACCTTTGACTGTAACCCCAACTCAATTGTGTCGAAGCACCCCAACCCCATATCTAGCCCCGTTATCATTAAAATACGTTCATTCCCAAAGGATACCCTTAACAGGAAAGTACGAAGTATTTTCTTTTTTACCCTTCCTTTCTCCTAAGGTTATTGGAATAGTATAAGAAAATTAGTTTTTGAGTAAGGTTAAAAAATCAGTAAATTGTAGATTTATAAAAAATGGCTTGCACCAAGTTACTTGAATAGATTCAAATTGTACTTGAAAAATGAAATACTGATTTTGATTGAATGAAGATTTCTTATCCAAATTGATGTAGCATGAAAGTTCACATTACTACTATTGATTGATTTATCATAAAAGTAAAGTTAATTCGAATGAGTCACAAAGACAATACAAATTACAGATAGGGTTGGGAGATTTGAACATGTAACCTATTGTATACATGTCCTTTAGTCTAAACTAATAGGCCAAAACCTCATTGGTCTCATTATTTGAATATAACCCTAACCGAATTTACTTAATCCAAACAATGCTTATTTCTTCCGTCCCTTTAATATTATTCCACTGCTTATAAGTTTTGTCCCTCTAAGTTTGTCTACTCATTCTCATAAAGCCAAGGCCATTGCAAATTCTCCCAAAAAGAAATAAGCAGCACAAATATAAAAAGAGAAAAAAAAAAAAAAAAACATAAAAAAATAGTAAAAGTAACCACCCTAGTCCCTGGTAAGGCCACAGTAGTATAAAAGAGTAAACAAACCCATATTTAATTCAAGTCACCAAGAAAGAACAACAAAACAGAGAGAAACTTAAGAAAAGCATCCCCTGAAAAAATGGAGGATACAAACCCAATGCTAATGACCAAAGAATCCAATTACAACAACAATGATAACAATAAGCTACCAGAAAGTCCAAGGTTACCAATGGAATTTCTGTCAAGATCATGGAGTTTACCTGCTCTTCAACTCTCAAAAGCTCTTTCTCTCTCTCTTCCTTCTTTAGTCTCCAAAACTGTTGCTCCCTGTAATACCCCTCCTATCTTTGAAGAAGAACATCATTCTCTAGTTTTTCCTGCTGACCAAGATGATCAAAAGAGGCTTATTTCTGGAAATTCTTTCTCTTTTGCTTCTTCTGCTACTTCTCAGCTTGTTCTTGAACGCATCATGTCTCAATCTGTAAGTTTTTTTGGTCAAAATTACCCAAAGTTGCATTTTTTGGGTTTTTTTTTTTTTTTTTTAGAATTAATTTATCTTTGTAGGATTTTTCTAAGAATGCTTAACAAACCAACAAACTTTTGCATGATAAAGACTATTTTTTTCATGCAAAGTTTACATTTTTTGAGACTTTTTCATGAAAATAATTCAGAAAAAAGACTGTTTTTCATGGGTTTAATTGATTTTGCTCACACACTTGAAAATCACCTCTTTTTTTTTTCTTTTTTTTTTTTTAAAAAAAACATTTAAATTTAAAGGGTACATATGCTTTTGTGATATAGTTTTTGAATGTTGTACGTTTGTATGTGTTGCAGGAAGTGTCACCAATGACATCCGGAAGGCCTTCATGTAGTGAGCCACCAAATGGAATTGGAGGTCAAAGTTTTTCTGCTTCTTCTCTTACTCCTGAAATGTTTGACAGCCCTACTGATCCTATTTCTCCTCCTGTGGATTTTGACAAGGTATTGTTTCCTCAGTCTTGGATGAGTCTAGTATTGTTTTAATTTATTGTGAAACATTAAATATACACCTCATGGATGAGTCGAGTATTGTTTCAATTTATTGTGAGACATTAAAAATACGACGACTCGTAAAAAAAAAAAAAAAAACATATAAAATAAAAGCCATGCCGATCTTACAAATACTATGTGACCTTTTTGCCTTGATAGGAATTATTTTTTTGACTAGTTAAAATATTTGTGTGATGTGAACTTTTTCTGTTTTGCTTCCAAGTACCATTGTCTAAACATTAAACATGCTTAAGTTGTACTTAAAGACACTTAACATTCCACACACTTATTGCTTGATTTGAACTTATTATGAGATTTTGTTGAAAATTGATATGGTAGGACATCTAAAACTTCTAAAGTTGGTATCTAATGAGAGAGTATGAATACTTCACCCTCAAGAGTCTTTTATCTTTTTAGATAAGATTGCCACTAAATAGAAAATTCAAAAGAAATACTCTTAAAAGTTGACGGTTTTGTCTAATTTCAAACTATAAGTAAAACAAAGCATATTTAAGTATTTACTCTGTAATAACTTCTACTATGTGAATTAGAGATATTTATGCGTTATAACATATGTTAAAAACCATGAATAATCAAATAGGGAAGGAACACAAAAGTAGTAGTAATTTTTATCCCAACCTTATGTTATTAAGAGAGACTTAAACACAACTTGAAACTAATGATTCAAGTCGACCATTTATCCGAAATTATACAGTATGTAGGGAGTACAGGATAAAAATTGTTTACAATAAACAAATGTCAGGAGAAAACCAGTTTAAAGTTCATCTTTGCCTTAAATTTCACTCAAAACTAAAAACCAAGATTATTAATTATACTCCTTAGTTCTAGCTAAAAACAGATTTAGGCTAGAGAGAAACAGAGAAGACAGCAATGACCTGCAGAGAGTAGAGAGATGTCAGCTATGTTTCCTGAGGCTTCTCCATTCTCCCAAATTTGACGCTTACTTTTTAGGTTGTCCTCTATTCAATGGGTCTATCAATTATGATTGTTGTTATTGTTAGTACACTTTTTTTACAGTAATATGGAGATATTGCTTTTGTTTCTTTCAATGCTAACTTTATTTTTTTCCCATTATCATAGAGTAGGTCTTTCTATAGCATTGTTTAGTGATTGTAAATTTTTTATCCTTTTCCTTCTTTACCATAGGCCCCTCTGATTGGTTTGGATAAAATCAATTTTTCTTAGATTCTGAACCCTTAACTTGATTCTGTATTGCATGGTCTATTGGTCTTGTATACTCACTCCGTGCAATGTAGCTCCAAGAAATTACTGTACTGTTAGCTACTCACCCATGGGTTGCATTGAGTAAATTGATACGAGTACTCTCCCCGTCTCGAAAAGATAGGTCACTTTGGAATAGTAACTCGCGTAAAGAGAGTGTTTCATTGGGTGTAAATTATTTTTCGGGAAAATGATTTTCCATTGTTTGGTTTGTAAAGGAGACCCTAGTTGATTTTTTTTTCCCCTTTTGTAAGGAAGAAGGCTTGTTTTCCTCCCATCTTTACTCCTCCTTTTTGCATCTCAACCTTTCACTTTTGTTTTTCGTTTTTGTTTTCTCTAATATACTTTTCAAGAACCAAACAAAAGAGAATTAATTTGCAATTGTATGTTTACTAAGAAAATTTTCAATTAGAAATCACGTTTATCGTAGATGTTCTCTATTAAACCGGAGTCAAGATATAAAGAAGTCAATTTTTTCTAAAGGGAGGCAGAGTGTGGACAAATTGGCACATCATTATTCTTATGACTCTAAATGATTTAGTGCTCCTTTTTACTACTTAATTAGGGTTAAATTCTTTGTTTAAACTTGCTTTTACTTTGTACTATTGTTTATTATTGCTGCATTCAAACTGAATACGAGGAAAAGGATTCTCAAAAGGGTAAGAAAGGGGACAGAAGGAAAACTGGAAAAGTAGAGTGACCAATCTTTTTCCTTGTTTGGCTCATTTTTTACGTGGTAAAAGGAATTCCCTCCCTTTTTTGACTAATATTTGCTTTTAAAAATTTTACTAAGGGAAAAAAGCCAATAATAAGACAATAAATAGTACCAGCCTTTCTTTTTCTTTATAAAGAGTTCTAACATGTTTCATGAGGTGGCCTTGTGAAGTTGTGGTCTATACGAGTGCATCTACACGCATAGAGCCTATATGTTTCACATGTATATAGAAGAGCTGAGGTTTAATTATTTTTTTTTCTCTTTTAATGGTACAGTGGTACATTTAATATACCATTATGCATGTAGTAGTACTTTTTGCTATTAAATTTTCCACCACTGTTTTTTCTCATGTTTTCATTATTCACAAAAATGTCATCCTATTTGTTTCATTGGCACATAGGCCATATGCGCCAATAATTCTCCGGTCTATACTCTATAAGCGGTTTTTGGGATTTGTAGATTTTGAATATCACCTACTAGAGTTTTTAATTTTACTAATCATTAGAACCAAAATCCCGAATATCTAAATTGATCACCCTTTCTTAATAGTTAATCACATTCTTTCCGGATTAATAGTCCAATTTTACGCCTTTTTAGAGTCCATTTTATTAATTTCGAAAACTTATACACATAAGAAGTCGAAGTTCAAACACACCATTTAGGATAGAACTAAATCACTAATACACCAATTCGATATTGATCACTTGCTACCTAAAGCTCTAGACTTGAGCCAATCCAAAGCATCACCAAAGACAAGCTCAACATTCTCCTCAGGCTCACCAACTAGCTGATGCCACATACCCGGATAGATCTTCAGTGTCTTGTCCTTGCTAGAGGCGCGTTGATGAAACTCCTCTACGCAGGCTGGGTCACATACAACGTCGTCTCCACCGTGAATGATCAACAGTGGAATATCAACTTCTTCGAATCTCCCTTGAACCTCTCTGCATATCCTCATCAGCTCATATGCTGTGGCAGCGCGTGGCTTCCCCATGTACCTCTTTGGGCTCGCGATTGCTAGCTTACGCTTCCATTCCACCTTAAGGATACAGTAGACATTAGACCAACGTGTGGGGAACACGGACCATATAAGGACAATTAAAGTTTTTGAGTAAATAAAATTGAATAAGCAGCTTTTTGTACCAAGTCAATAGAGATGACCTACATATTAATGAATGTGGGTACTCCAGCTAGATCATCCGTCCATTTTGATTTTTTTTTCCCCCTCTTATTTTTACTAAGCAATAGCTGCAATAATCTAGCTTTAATTTTGAAGGTGCATTCGATTCACTTGGTTTACACTCATCTCAACTGAACTGAAACTAGTTAGTCCTTATTTTTCATGAACTTAGAGAACTTATTTCTCCTATAACATTTGAATTGTTATATACTATGTATATATTTTTTTTTTAAAGTATTATAAATGTTATATACTTTGTATATTCATATTGATAATTAATTAATTATAGTTACGTTTTTTCCTACAAGTATATATAATTAATTAATAAAAAAACACCCAAACAAAAATGTACAAGAAATTATACTAGGTATATAAACATAATTGGAAAATCAATTAGAAAGAGGATGAATGAGAAGTTCCAAACCTTAAAGGACACATCAGGAATAGAACCACGAGTAGGAACTACGCGCCAAGTAGGCAAAACCGTAGCAGCTAACCCAAGAAGGTGTTCCAAAGGCCAAGGTGGCTTAAACTTCTGACTAATCCCACACATAGCCCCATTCAACACTGTTTCGGTTGAAAACAATGGGACCTTGCCGAAGGTCCACTAAAATGGAGAAGACTGGATTCGATCCAAGCTGTGTTGGGCCGAAGGTTTCCTGCACAGTGAACACACGTAAACTAGCCTCGGGGGTGTTTCCGAGGAAGGCCCCTCCGATGCTAAAGTCAGTACAATGTGTAAAAAGGAAGACACTATGCAAGAGAGTTTGTAGCTTGAGGCTTTTGTGGAGTATTTCTCAATGCAAGAATGAGCATATGAGTTGGAATAATCCGTGTATGAGATAATGTATGTGATGATGCCTGTGTTGTTGTGTCTGATAGTGTATATGATGTTATGAGATGTCCCCTTGAATGTGTTAATATGAGGGCTTTTATACCTCATCATATTTGGAGAGGTTGGGCTTTTGCCCAATTGGCTTACTTTGTGGGCTGACTTTTGACTTTTGAGCAATTGGAGAGTTGAACCTTGACCTTGGGCTTTTAATTGGATCATTTAATGCTCCGGCCCAATTTTGACTAAATTGGACCCAAACAACTTGCCCCCCAGACCCGATTTGGAAGAATGACGGGTCGGGTTTGATTTAACTCAGAAAAGGAGGGAAGTAAATGATTTAATTGATCCAAAAATTTGAATTTAAACCGTAATTAATGAGATAACAACGGTTAATGATTTGCGGAAGTTGGACGGATAATGGGCGGTTTAATCACAAGACATGTGTTTAATGGTTACTTAGTGGGTACTTAAGAGAAATTAAAGCACAGACTCTTCGTATCCCGTACCTGGAGATATAAACAGAGGCGCGTCATTCTCCTCACTGATTCACCAACACAAACCCAGAATTCTTCGAGAGAGAATCCAAGAATCCGTATCAAAACTTCGCAAATTCCCCCGAGCATTGAGCTTAGAAACTGAGACTTGCCACTACGAACTCGTAAATCGGCAAATTTCGCTTCAGATTAAGGTAAATTCCTTTGATTTCAGTTTATTTTTCTTCGAATTCGAACTCCTTCCCCTTTTCTTTCGACTTTTCTCTTCGAAATAGTCCATGGCAAGAGGAGTTAGAGGTAGAGCCCGTGCTCCAAGAAGAGCAAGGCCGATTCCCGATCCTAGGAATAGGATTGGGACCTGGAATGGTCGAAGGCCGGAGTCTGACCCTGCTGATGGGATTAGGGCGACTCCCCTTTCCTCGGCTCCTCCTCAAAGAACGGATGAGCCGAGTGCTTCTGGACGGGATGATGAAATTCCCGCTGTCCTTTGGGATATCCTCCCTGGGTTTTCAGAGTGGGAGAATGCCGAAGTCGCTTCGGCCATGATAAAGAACCGCCCCTACTCATGGTGGGTAGAGAACGCCGATCAATATCGATTTGCTGAGCAAATTGAGTTGCACTACGGCATTTTTGAAGCTGATGGATATTGGTGCCGAATGCCCTCAGCATCCGATAGAATCCATCGTCCACCCCCGGGGTATGTGGGGGTGTACACGAGACAGCTTCAGTATGGGCTGAGGTTCCCTTTGGACGTTTTCGTCCGAGACTTGCTGATCCATTACAACATTTCCCTATGTCAGCTAACCCCCACCAGCATCCGAAGGGTGATGACATACTTATGGGTCTGCAAGTTCTTCAAATACGTGCCGAACCTGCACTGCTTCAGAAAGCTCCATCGGCTAGTGCCAAATATTCAGAGTGGGCACGGAAGCCATGGTTCTGGGTGGTATCGGATTGAGTCCCGGCCCCAATACTTGACCATGTGGCCAAATGACTCTTCAGACAAGGACTGGAGAGGTCAATGGATTTGGGTTAGGGCACCCATAGATCCGGGCCACCCTTGTGTCTTCAGCGCTCCCCGGTACTTAGCTGAGCCTGATCCCGAAATGGGAAGTCTAGGTCCCCCCGCAGATAACGGGGCGGATCCGAACCTGGATCAGCAACATATCTTCGGCAAGCTGCCGAACCCGGGGGGGAGTGGTCGAATGCAGCATATCCCGGAGACTTGGCTCCCCGATACGCATTACGTTTTCCAAGAGAATATGCTAGCAGCTGTTGGCCTCAGCCGAAAGTTTAAGGATGGTAAGCTTCTTCGGCTGGGGCCGAGGCTTTTAACTACCTCTTTTTCTTCTCTCGCTTTGCTTTTTTATGCTGTGCCAACATATCTGAGCTAAACTTTTTCCCTTTCCTTTTTTCAGAGCGGGACGAGACCAACGTTGGTATTAACTACGCTCGTCTTGGTGTTAACCGAGAGCGAGTTGTAACTGAACGGGCCCCGTCTATCACTGAGCCGAGGCATAGGGAAGTTCATCTGGACTCTTCCCACTTCCAAATTGAGGCTGTTGCTCTGTATCAGAGGCAGAAGCCTTGGTGGAAGAAGAGAGACCCTTGGTTTCAGCTGCTGAACGAAGAAGCTGAAGCTGCCCGCACAGCCGAAGAGGTTGCACGGGTACTTGAGGCTTGTGAAGGAGGAGAAGGGTCCTCCAGAGCTGCTGAAGCCGAAGCTGCAGCTAGAGCAGCTGAAGAAGACGAGGCTTTGCTGAAGACCTCGGTGAGCTTTCAGACAACTTTTTTCTTTTCTTCTTTTTTTTTTTTTTTTTTTTTTTTTTTTTTTTTTTTACTCACACTCTTCTTCCCCCCTGTCTGTTACAGTCTGAAGAGAGTAACAGACACAGAGAAGGCAAAGCTCCTGTTCGTCCCGAAGATCAAATACAAGAGTCTTCAGACTCAGATATGGACGAGCAGCCTCTTCTGAAAAGGCGCCGAAGGATGGCCATCATCGGCCCTCATGATTTTCAGCAGAGGCCGATGACCATCGGCGTCGCAATAAGGGAACCTGAGGAAGGCAATGGATCGCCGAGGGTTCCCCAGCCAACACCCCAATCTCCTCAAAAGACCCCTCCGCCACCTCCTGAGATGGAGGTGGATCAGAGAACTCCCGAACCTAAGGGAGGGGTCCAAGAAGAAATCAAGGAGAGTGCTGCTGAGCACGAAAATAAAGATGCCGTGATGTCAAGTGCTGAAGGCTTCACGGCAGATATCGCAAGAGAGGTTGAGGCTTTCGTCCTCACCCCTGAAGAAGAGGAGGTCATAGTACTTGACTCCTCTGAGAAGGACGATGCTGAGACAACCAAAGCTAATCAAGCTCCATCGTCGTCCTTCCCTTCTTTCCAGACTCTGCATTCTGGAGAAATGGGTTTCTCGGCCCCCCGAATTCCAATCCCAGATCACATCTGGGACCTCATATGGGGTCAAAACCGAGAAGGAGCTGCAGCCTACTTCGGCAATTTTGCTGGCATGTCCGAAGTAGACAGGGCAAGGATCTGGTCGCTGAAGGCCACTGCTGGGATGGGCGAATCCAGTAGATCAGTTCCTGACCCAGCCAGGTCTAACCAACTGCTGATGATGCAGGTAATTTTCCTTCATTTCCTCCGAAATTCAGCTCTATTTTTTTTTTCTTATTACTTATTTTTTATTTTTTTTTTTGTCTTCCTGTTTTCAGTTCGTGCACAATCAGACTCTCACTGTAGAGCTGATTGATACCCTACAAGATAGGGTAGACGCTGCTGTGCACGAAAGGAAGGTGGCTGAAGAGGAAGTTAAGCTTGCTAAGCTGAAGCAAGCAGCAGCTGAAGAGAAGCAGCAGGAGGTTGAGGAGTACGGTAAAAAAGCTGCCGAAGCTCTGAAAACCTTCTGCGATGCTATGGAGATGGAGGTTTTTCCCCCACTGATGGAAGGGGAAAAATTCCTCCAGGAGCATATGGGAGTGGACGTCTCCAAATTCAAGGCTGCTATTGAGAGCCGAATTCAAGAAGGAACTGCTGCACAAGCTGAAGTGCAGCAGCGTCTAGAGGCTCTTGAAGCCAGCCGAATGGCTGCTGAAGAGTTGCTCTTGGCCAAAGACGTCCAACTCTCAGAGGCTGCTGCTGCTGCTGAAGCTCAAAGAGCTAAATTCCAAGAGGCTGAGGATCAACTGCTGATCCAGAAAGTTGAAGTGGCCCAAGCTCAGACAAAGGCTTTCCAAATTCAGCAAGAGCTGAATGAGCTGAAGGGTTCCTCCTCCAAAGTCGCTGAACAGCTGAAGAAATCCAAGGAAGACTTGGAGGAGACCCAGAAGAAGCTGGCTGATGCTGAGGCTTTACTCAAAGTCCGTGTTTACACCCAAGAGGAATATGAGATGGGTTTCAGAAACGGATTCCGAGTATGCCGAAGACTCTGCCTTCATGCTGAGCCGAAGCTGGACTGGTCTAAATGTGCTGAGTGGGTCCAGAATCCCGAAGACCCTCACATGAAGTATGCAACTCCAGCTGAAGCTGAAATTCTTAAGGCTGAGGAAGCCGAAGAGGAAGCTGAAAGACTGGAGTTGGAAGCTGAGCAGAGGGAAAGGGAGGCTCGGCAAAATGCAAAGCCCGCCTCTTCGGCTGCTGGGGCTGAGGCCACCATGGGACTCAACGCTGATCAGTCTGATCCCCCGGCTGAAGCATAGGAACTCGGGCAGTCGTCTTCAGAATCTTGCGGTTCATCATGTGCTTAACTTTAGACTTGCCGCTTTCTGAGTTTTTTGCCTTGTTTTTTGCTTCAGCTTGCCTTGTCGTACAGCAGTTTTATTTTTTTGCTTATGTACGTATTTCGGCAGCTGTTATTTTCCGCTTGTGGGCGGCTGCCGATACTGAATTATTGAACTTGTAGCTCAAAAATTTTTTCTTCAGTTGCTTTATTTTTGAATGCTTTACTGTTTCTTTTCTTCAACTCTGCCGAACATAGCTGCACTGCGTGCTTCTTGCCCCCACAGAAATTGAAGTATGACTTTAGTTGAATAAGCAATTTCTGAACTTCTTCAAAATAGATATCCGAAACACAGGGCCAACTTAAGGCAATGCTTCTGGGATACAAGTCTTACTGAAGATTGACTGTCTGAAAGTTGGATATCCGAAACACAGGGCCAACTGAAGGCAATGCTTCTGGGATACAAGTCTTACTGAAGATTGTCTGAAAGTTGGATATCCGAAACACAGGGCCA